GAGTTTGGGACGAAGCAAATGAAGCAAACATATCATCATGTTTGGAATTTTGGGACCTTTTCAACCCGGGCATTCCTCCAAACACATCGTCATCGTACAAATTCATGGAAGAAGATCTTCCACCCGACTTCGAAAAAATAGAATCATAATCAAAGGTAGATACACCTTTGTTATAAATGCTAGGACTTGATTGGTTTGTGGACTTCTGGAATCCACCAAAAATGTCATCGTAATTTGAATTCAGGGGTTTTTGCTTGGTGTTGGATTGGAAGAACATGTCACGGTCATCAAGGAAAGACCCATTTAACAGAAGCCGGATTCCAAGAAGATTTTGAGGGGTATAAGGTAGGACTTTGATCCAAACCCGAATTGAATCCATAATTCCTGGTTTGAGCATTGGTGCTGGAAGTTGTGGATCGTTTCGATGCGGCCAAGGGAGCCGATTTCCCTTGCGGCTTCAAACCATACTGCTCCGTCAACACACCAAAACCTCGTCCATGTTATTAAGACGTGATCAGAAAAAGACGTATGAAACTAAGGGTATGGAAAGTGAGTGAGAATCGTTCCGGCAGAGTAAGAAAGGAATTTGTAATTGCACTAGCTTTAGAGCGGAGATAAAAAGAGTTTAGGGTTGGTTTCAATTACCTTTTCTGAGGTGGCCCTGGGGGTATTTATAGGCCTTTGTGAGGTATCACGTGGCTTGTTTAGCAGGATAATCAGAGCTTGACGTGTCTATCCAGACGATTATTTCGGGACTGAGAATTTGAGAGGTATTCAGATGCACGGATGTCCACCATACTTATTGTGCCACTCGTCATAAGGTGCGGACATGCTTATTGTCATTGTCATGCAGTTATTTGAGCAGGAAGCTTTGGATTCATTTCTCACTTCGGTCATAAAGGAATTACTGTAGCAATCCGAGGCTTGGTACCTTGGACCTGTCCTTACACTATTCCCCCCGAAATCATTCACTTGTGAATGATGTTGCTGGGGATAATGAGGGGACTGCATGAACAAAGAAAATACGGATAAGTCATGGAAGTATAAGGAAGAAAGCTGTAATTTAAATTTAGACATAGTCTAGCTAATAATGAAATACGTAACAGTGGGTCATACTGGGGTGCCTTAAATAGAATATGACCGGAGCGATCATAGTCGTGGTTGTGGTGAAAATAATGACCGGAGTCATAATGTAAAAGATGATGACCGGAGTTATAATGGAGCCAAGGTCATGATAAAAAATGATAACTTGAGTTATAAAGGCCAAGGCCGTGATGGAAAATGATGACCAGAGTCATAATGGCCAGAGCCGTAACAAAATATGATGACCGGAGTCATAAGGGCCGGAGCCGAGGTAGAGTATGTGACATGTGGTCGCAGTAACCAGGACCGAAGTAAAACATGTCTTTGTGGCCGGAGCAGAAGTAAAACACTTTGCCCGTCAAAAAGTGTAATTGTAAAAGTAAGCAGAAGTGCTGAGCTGGGCTTAAAATATAATGACCGAAGTCATAATGGCCGTAGCCGAAATAAAATGTGTGATACTGGGTCACTGTGACCGAAGCCGATGTGAAATGTAATGCATGATTATTGTGGTCGGAGCCGAGGTGAAACACTTGCAAAATGAGAATGTATAAAAGTGAACAAAGGTGTTGAAATGGGCGTAAATGGGCCCGTGTAAAAATACTGACATAGGTGTGACAGTTGTCCTTAGAATGACGTGCGCAATAAATGTGGCCGTAAAAAGATAACTGCTACAGCTAAACGGGCAAAAATTAAAAAACGAACCGTCGAATTCTAAACGGTGCGAATAGGAACCGTAAGATTAAATGAATCTCAGCTGTTGAGATCTAATTTTGCCCAGAAGTATAAATAAACATTTTTTCTGCAGAGGGAGGTTTACTTGCATTTCTTTCCCTGCAAAACTTCTGTGAAAAGCTTTATTGTGCGTTTCCTGTGCGTGAACTGCGGTAACAACTGGGGATCTCTACATCAAATCTTTCGAAACCGAAATCAGGTAATGTATAACGAACCTCTGATTTTGAGTTAATCGAAGTGTCACTTCTCCTTTCTCCCTTTTTGTGATTGATTTAGAGTCCTTTGAAGGAAGTTAGGGTTAGAGGCGAGAAGGATTTTGAATGTGCA